ATATGCAAAAAAAAAAAAATTAACTTGCCAGCCTCCAAAAACCCATGGGAACATCAGGTAGAGAAGGTGTCAGAAAATGAGGAAATCAATATCTTATGGGATTTCTGGATCCAAATGGACTGACACCTTGAACACAACACACCAGACATATAGTAATAGAACAAAGAAATGTCTGGATCATTGACATTGCAATTCTGGGGGATGCCAGAGTTGAAAATAAAGAATTTGAAAAACTAAGAAAATACAGACATCCGACAATCCAAACATCTTGCTTGTGGATGAAACATACTTCAGTAGTCCCTGTAGTCATTGGGGTTTTGGGAACAATAAGAAGAAATTTCACACAGTACTATAAGCAGTTGCAAATATGGCAATATTTGGAACAGCATACATACTGTGTCAATATTTAATAGATACTTAGGTTTTTGGTTAAAACTTGTATCTGTTGTATAATGCCAGTATAATAATAATAATAATAATAATAATAATAATAATAATAATAATAACAAATTGAGAATATCAATTCTCTCCCTAGCAAGATTATCCGCATTGTTATGTGTGGCTCCAGAATTAGAGTCAAAGGAATTGAAACATTTTTTGCCTTCTGGAGATAATCTGGATGACACCAGTGCTTCTCTTTTTTCACCAGCTGATGGCATGCTCCTTCTAGAAATAGATTTTTTTGAACATATGCTTTTGACCCTGAGATGTACATTTGCACAGCCCTTCTAACATTGAAAATGCCTTACAAACATGATGTCATGTTACAGCCCTCTCAGGCAAGTCATTAAGCATCCCCATTTTACAGATGGTGGGCAGGAGAACAAAGTTGATGAAGTCAGCTTTAATTAGATGTTATGATGACATGGATCTGCCATTGTAATACCACACACACACACACACACACACACACACACACACACACACACAAATCTCTCTTTCTCAAACTCATATCATATATTGGGCTTAACTATATGCTTCCTGAGTAGGATTACTCAGCAAATCAAAGCTAAATGTATTCAGGACATGCGCTCTTCCTTTTCCTAAACTCTCAAGTTTAGACCCCATCTGAGGTTCATTCTGTGCCTGGACTGTCCCACTTCAGGTTCCCATGACTGAAATATCCTTCACAATCAAAATAGAAATGTGGGTTCAGGGACCTCTTTTCCAGTATGATAGCTTTCTTTAGTGAGATAAATGTCTTGATGCTGTGCAGTACAATATGTAGGACTTCTAGACGACTAGCAATGACAGACTAGGGGATCTACAATTGAGCAAAGGAGAGGTTTTTCCTAATCTTTGGTTGGGGAGACAGAAACGAAACAATGCTTTTCATCCATCTGATTTTAACAGGAGACTATTTGGCAGGATTGCCATGGTATGTTAATATTACAGTTAAATACAAGACAGCATACTAATCTTCACATCAAACTTTACAGAAAGGACACGTGCTGCATGAACTCCATTAATTCAGTACCTTGGAAGCTGCTCTACAATTAGAAAAAAGTTTTTGTTTTAAAGTTGCAAACAATGTGTTCTCTTTTACTTGATAAGGTTAGAAATATAATGAGCACCCTCCCGCACTTTTGCATGTATCTGTGCCTAGACCTTTGAAACCCTATTTCTACTGAAAGCCAGAAACCTTTTTTGAAATACTTACTCCCGAAGCCTGTGGAAAACTTAATGAAGTGTGGATAATTCCCATACATGTTTAATCTTCAGTTGCTCTTTTCATGGCACCTGCCACATTGTCTCCAGCTCCAAAGATCCGTAAAATGTTCTCTTCTGGTTAACAAGATTGAAACAAGAAAATATGTCTCCTCAAATACAGAAGAAATTGTGTAGAAAACGAAAAAAACCATTTACTCGCTAGCTCGCGGCAGCTACAGGCTGGCTGGCTGACTGGCTGGTATCAGGGATCTTTTATCTGCTGTTGCTCCTTAGCACTGCTCTCTCAGTCAGTTCTGGGCAGGGCTTTTCTCTCTGCATCTCTCTGTGCGCTCCCTGCTGTGTGCTATATTGGTAACTTAATCCATCAGCCACAAGACCACTCAGTGCATCAAGCACCAGTACAGGTCATGAATCAAAAGCTGCAGGAATTAAATAAGAAAAAGAAGAGTAGGGTGTTGCTAGGTGCACTCCTTACTTACTTACTTACTTACTTACTTACTTACTTACTTACTTACTTACTTACTTACTTACTTACTTACTTACTTACTTACTTACTTACTTACTTACTTACTAACTAATGTAGGTAATTAATTAATGTTAAAGGGTTTCAATTTACACATTGATTGTATAAATATTCACCCATATAACATAAAAATCCATTAAAAACTTTAAATGAGGACATATTTACATAATTATGTTGTAATTCTTTGCATAGTTATGCTGTAAAAATGCTCAGTTTGGCAGTATAAAGGGCAAAACAATAAATAAACAAGTACAGAACAGGACAATATATGATTATATAGTAGAAGAAATAAATAATGTTGGACGAAAATCATGCTACCTCAGTTTTATTATATCTCTCCCTGATTTTATCTTCTGTGAACACTGCAGGACATAATGAACATAGATATAGAGGTTGTGTGATCTGATTTTTCTCCACATTCACATATTGTTACTTCAGCAGATAAATATCTTTCACTTTCTCTAAACTAGATTCCTTAGATCACCCAACACTATTTTATAATCTGATGAAAGACCATTTTGTTTGAACAATGAATCAATGAATATTCATTGATTAATTGCTAAAATTTGTTGAAACAATGAATCAATGAATATTCATTGATTAATTGCTAAAATTTGTTGAAACAATGAATCAATGAATATTCATTGATTAATTGCTAAAATGTGGTGCTTTGTTAAATAAAGATGTCCTGGATTCCACAGAAGATAAAAGAGGCAGAAAGGATATTGTAGAGGAATTATACCAGAAAAACCTGTATGTCCCAGACAACCCAGATAGTGTGGCTGCTGACCTTGAGCCAGACATCCTGGAGAGTGAAGTCAAGTGGGCCTTGGAAAACCTGGCTAACAACAAGGCCAGTGGAGGTGATGGGATTCCAGTTGAACTATTTAAAATCTTAAAAGATGACGCTGTTAAGGTGCTACAGTCAATATGCCAGCAAGTTTGGAAAACTCAGCAGTGGCCAGAGGACTGGAAAAGATCACTCTATATCCAAATCCCAAAGAAGGGCAGTGTCAAAGAATGCTCCAACTACCGTAACAATTGCATTCATTTCACACGCTAGCAAGGTTATGCTCAAAATCCTACAAGACAGGCTTCAGCAGTGTGTGGACCGAGAACTCCCAGAAGTACAAGCTGGATTTCGAAGGGGCAGAGGAACTCGAGACCAAATTGCTAGCATGCTCTGGATTATGGAGAAAGCCGGAGAGTTCCAGAAAAAATCTACTTCTGCTTCATTGACTACGCAAAAGCCTTTGATTGTGTGGACCACAACAAACTATGGCAAGTCCTTAAAGAAATGGGAGTGCTTGACCACCTTATCTACCTCCTGAGAAATCTATATGTGGGACAGGAAGCAACAGTTAGAACTGAATATGGAACAACTGATTGGTTCAAAATTGGGAAAGGAGTACAAGGCTGTATATTGTCCCCCTGCTTATTTAACTTATATGCAGAATGTATCATGCAAAAGGCAGGACGGGAGGAATCCCAAGCCAGAATCAAGATTGCTGGAAGATTGCTGGAAGAAATATCAAATATCCGATATGCAAATGATGCCACTCTGATGGCAGAAAGTGAGGAGGAATTAAAGAACCTCTTAATGAGGGTGAAAAAGGAGAGTGCAAAAATGGTCTGAAGCTCAACATAAAAAAACCCCTAAGATCATGGCCACTGGCCCCATCACGTCCTGGCAAATAGAAGGGGAAGATATGGAGGCAGTGACAGATTTTACTTTCCTGGGCTCCATGATCACTGCAGATGGAGACAGCAGGTGTGAAAGGACTCCTGCTTCTTGAGAGGAAAGCGATGACAAATCTTGACAGCATCTTAAAAAGCAGAGACATCATCTTGCTAACAAAAGTCCGCATAGTCAAAGGTATGGTTTTCCACTAGTGATGTATGGAAGTGAGAGCTGGACCATAAAGAAAGCTGACCACTGAAGAATTGATGCTTTTGAATTGTGGTGCTGGAGGAGATTCTTGAGAGTCCCCTGGACTGCAA